TCTTTGGGGCACACGTACCAAATGGAGATCAATGAATATGGCTGACAGTTTCCCCCATAACATTATTATGCACTAAAATGAACAAATTACTATTACATTAATTTTTTTTCCAACACTATTTCTATTTCTAAACTACTTTTGTCCTACTTGGTGTATTTTGGTTAGTTTATAATAATAATAATAATAATAATAATAATAATAATAATAATAATAATAATCATAATAATAATAATAATCATATTCCTTTCTCACTCTCATAATAATAATAACAGCAATAATAGTGTTGTTCTAGTTCTTACTTTTCAAATAGTTCTAGTTTTAGTTCTAGTTCTAAGCCTTTAATTTGCTTAGTCTTAGTTGAAGTTCTGGTTCCAAATTTTTAGTTTGTACAGTTCTAGTTTTAGTTCTAGCTCCAAGCATATACTCTACATTGTTATAGTTCTAGTTCTAGTTCCAAGCTCCTGGTTTCCCTAGTTCTAGTGTAGTTCTAGTTCTAGTTTAGTTCTCTTTCCTTTATTTTGACACTTTTCAATGACATAAGCTCTAATCAAGCTAGTTGGCAACATTTTATGTAGTCAATAGCATGTAGTTCTAGCATTAGTTCCATAAAAAGAATAGTTGTAGTTCTAGTTCTAGTACCAACATTAATTTACAAATAGTTCTAGTTCTAGTTATAGTTCAAAGAAGAGTTAGCTATTAGTTCTAGTTCTAGTTATAGTTCTATAGCTAGAAAACCGTTAGTTTAGTTATAGTTTTAGTTCTAGGAACTAAAACTAGCTAAAAATAATGAAACTAAATGACTTTTTAGTTCTAGTTCCAAAGAACTAGAACAACACTAAACAATAATAATAATAAAAATATTCCTTTCTCACTCTCAAAAAAATAACAATAACAATAATAATAATAACAATAATAATAATAATAATAATAATAATAATAATAATATTCCTTTCGCACTCTCTTAATAATAATAACAATAATAATGATAATAATAATAATAATAATAATAATAAAATGTGACCATAATAGACAAAAGGTACCTTATGGCGGGTAGTGAAATTTGTCATTAAACCCAAAAAATCTAACTTCCTGAGCTCCATTTATCATAAAATGATACAAAAAGTTACTATATATATAACTATTAGAAACAATGATTGCCCAACAAAGCACTCACAGGTTGATATTTACCATTATAATGATGAATTTTTAAATCCACTATAAGGTACCTTTTGTCAATTATGGTCACAAATAATAATAATAATAATACTCAATTATTATTCT